CTTCACTTGACAGGTAATTAGAATGAAGGCAAGTAACTGGCATGCCTAAAGTCCCACTGTGGAGACAGATTTTGAAACTAATTCTCTCCTGATTCCTGGGCCAATATTCTTCCCAACACATTAAACTCATCTTGCAAAGGAGTGAACCCTGAACCTTCACTATTTCTCATCTGTTTAATCACTTTCATCTAATGAACACAACTGACTACAAATACACTCCTCCTGAAGCATTTCAATGGGGGTAAGCATGTTATCATTCAACAGCTTTTCTGGATTATGTTCAGAGTCCGACTGAGGTGGTGGAGAGAGAAGAATGTTCACATTAGTGAGCAGATGCTTTGGTCCATGCATCCTGCCTGCTGAAGATCTCCGAGAGCAAAACCTCACCTCTGGCTCCGATTTACAACAGGACAATGCATAAATCCTTATTGTTTTCCTCTTATTTCTTGTCACTTTTATTTGTCTCTACATTTACCACCATCTGCCCATGCCTGCTTGCTGTACCATGTTTCCTGACTGCATGATCATTTTTTATACTAGGAGAGTTTGTTGAGGATAAAATATGAGAATGGAACAGATACAGAAATACTGCCCTTATGAAATTAATGAAAATGATTAACAAATATAAATGCCTCACCCAGTCATCGATTGGGCTGGCTTGTCCAGGAACTCTAGATAAGGGTAGAAAGCAAAGGCTTTACTTAACTGGGTACCAGGAGATTAAAGAATGTAATGAGCTTTATGATTCCTGAGATGGATACACACAATCATTCCACATTCTTTTTTAATCCTTGGATGGTAATGAGTTCCACTAACTTTGATTTCTTACCTTATATTACCCCCAAAGAAGCTTTAAACAGTCAGCTCTGGGCATTTCAGGTGTTCTAAAACTAGAGTGGTTCATGTGATCTGGAGTCAGAAAATCAGGGTTCCACCCTCACTGCTAAAACTTATTAACTGGATGACAACGAATAGGTCATTTAACTTGTTAAGCCCTGGCCTCCTTAGCTACAGAATAAACAGAAGAACTGGCTCTACTTGACAAGATTTTTATGAACATCTGGAAAGATCGTGTCTATAAAAATACTTTCTAGTGTTACACATGTAACATGGTAAAAACGTTTATTATCATGATCATAATACATAATTATACCATTAGAGGGGCTAGCAGTTTTGTCCTAATTTTTTTTCATTTTCTGTGAATATTTAAGTGAGTTAATGCATGCTACAGGAATATCTGGTATTTAATGTTCAGTGAAGGATAGCCCTTAACATTATTACTATAAGGGCATATTTTCCAAAATCCTTTATTATCTCTTGTAAATATGAGAGAAGAAGAGATCACCTGGGGATTAAGGGAATGCAGCTACAGAAGTAAGAATCACTGCCCATCCAATATAAATGCCTATTTCCCACTCCCACTTTGAGTTAGTAGAACAGGGAAGAGTAGGAAGAGAGAAATCTTGGAACCTTAATCTAAAAGAAGAATAGGTTAAAAGTAGAGTACTGGCACAGAGTACCCGAAAGAAATCTATTCTCTCACAATCGTTTTTACCTGAAGCTGACTCAGAAGCTTAAATTTCTGGATTTCCTTCTCCTCTTTACTACTGATCTTCTGTGTAACCTTAAAGTGAGCCATTTAACCACTTGGTGGTCTTCCCAGGTAAAAATCTGTTAACTCCCACCCGTCTAAGATGGACTGATTACATGTTCATAAGAATGTATCAAGATACGGCTTATAAGTTGCTCAAAAGAAGCAACATGCTATCAAACCTTTAAACAGCCAGGTGTTTTCCTTATTTTTCTTACTTCTTCTCCTTCTTTCCCTCCCACATATACACACATTTTGGCTGTAGTAATAACAATGTGGGAAGGGTTCAAGTATCAGTAGTCATCCAGATAAAATTTGTTAGATAGGAAATGGAAATTTTCTTGACTTTATAAGTAGAAGCTTAGAAGAGATCACAATGAGAGTTTCTTAAGAAAGTTTCCTCCACATTAATCATCATCAACTTCATCTATTACTCCTCTCCTTTTTAACACATGTGGAAATATTTTATTGGTCTGTGAGATATAGTGCAATAATGTCAACACTTTTATATTAGGAAAGCTAGTACTCCATGTACTCTGTTCTTTCTCTACTGTGAAAAGAAAATAATCTATTCAACATGTTTTGAAATTAAGTGATTAAAGTCTTATTAGAAAATTGCTTCTTCTAAGAGTTTAATGTAGTGTCTAAAGTATGTAATGCTTTTAAGAACTCAGAAGCTCACTGTTTGATAGGATAGCAGATAAGGTATAGGTTAGGATATAAATGCGAGTTATACGAATAAGAAATACTTAGACGTACACACACACAAAATATTTTTTTTTCATTGGAGAGGATGTGAAAATTAAATATTACGAGAAGAAAATCTATTTCCTTGACTGAGGTAGGATACTAAATAGGTCAAGGAGATAGAAACAAAAATTCTATGAGGGAAAACAGACAAAACTAAACATGGTAAGATATATAATGCAACTGGAAGAATAATTTATCTTTCAGTATCTTTCCATATGATCTTCCTATGAACTTTTCTTGGTGAGAGATAGAATACAAAATACCTCATATTTCAGTTTCACACAAACTCCAGGTGAAAGACAGACTTTGTAAAAAGATTTCAACTTCTACAGATTATTAGGTTTGGGCTGTGAATACTGAAGAGCACTGCCTACTTTATTTCCCACTTAGCAGAAAAAAGCTGGAAAGAAAAAGTAATGAAATACACATAATGGAATATCCATAAAAACAGAACTCCAAATTAACAAAATGACATTTTTTAAAATAAGAAAAATACGTAATTGATATTTTCTACTAAAAACAAAACATAAACTACTAGATTCCAGTTAAGAAATTATTTTAAATTAGAAGCAACAAAACTTACGATAGTATTTACTGAATCTTAAGAATGGAGAAAGACACACGCACCAATACAGACTAGAAAGAGTAAAGGATAACACACTATAGGAATGACTCCCAGATTAGTCATCTTCCATCCAGATGATGACAGTAGTGCAGTCTGTTATAATGAAAGATTTGCATTAAGTTTTATGGGCTTAAAATATGAATGTTTGAAACTGTGTATTATGAATAACCAGCAGTTATTTATCATAGGCATCTTTCATTTAAGTGTCTAACCCTCTAACCTACAGACATTAAAATGTCGTATTAATTTCTTCAGGGAGTTGGCCATCTGTTTTGCATCACGTAGAAGCAATCTAAATTGAGCCATCATTTACCTTATTTTATTCTTCCTACTTTCCAGGATTAATACTCAACTGCAAGCAAAAGCTGTTTGACAATGCTACCTCCATTATGTACAGTTTGTGCTAAGCAAAGCACATAATGACTACCATAAATCTTAAGGAATATCAGGATTCTTAGACTCATATCACTTGACCTCACTGTGAAAAGACTGAGTATTTGGAGAAATAAATGCCTTATTAAAATCCGAAAACCCTGGGGTGCCTGGATGGCTCAGCCATTTAAGCATTCTACTCTTGATTTCGGCTCAGGGCATGCTCATGATTCGTGAGTTGGAGCCCTACATGGGGCTCTATTCTGGCAGCACGGAGCTTGCTTGGGATTCTGTCTCCCTCTCTCTCTGCCCCTCCCCCACTCACTATCTCTCTCACTCTCTCTCAAAATAAAATAAACTTTAAAAAATTAAAAACCTTAATCATCATGGTTTACACTAGATATCTGTGAATGGACTATGACAGCCATTTCAACTAGGAACACACTGGCCTCAGCCACTACCCATCAATAAGAGTTGGCTCTGTTGATGATGTTTTATAGAAATACAATAAAGCAGAACAAAAATTTACTTTGTCAAATTTAAATGCCTAGAAAAGGGCAGAACAAACAACAGAAACAGAGAATATATTTTAAGTTAGGTTGATAAAATAGATATTCACATAGGATATCATTGCACTGCATTATTTGAAAGTATGAGCCTCATTACAATTCTGTTCCATCACCACACTTAGAATGGTAGACACAGAACCAGTGTGGTGCACCTCATCCAGAAAACAAACATAATCCCAAGTAACTTCAAAGGAAGATATCAAGAGTCCTAAATACAAATGGTTTACCAAGTAAATTTGAATTTTACATGATTTGCATTTTTTGGTGAATAATTTTAGCCAATAGGTTGTGGGGGAGAATTTTCCAAGATTTAGCAGGTTTTCACCCAACAACTAATTTCTCGGCAAAACTCATGACTTTCCTCTAACCCATGTTGTATTACCTAGGATCTTAAAAGTCTTTTCTGTGGAGGACTGGAATAGTCCTGTCCAGCCCTTATCACAATTTGAAATTCTATATTAAACTGTGAATTTATTCATGTCTACTTTACTCATTCCTGTGTGTCTCGTATAAAATAGGCCATTAAAAAATGTGTTTAATGTTGAATGAATGAAACATGCTACAACCTATTCATCCTGCTCCACCTCCCAAACCCATACAACTTTGGGGATTAATCTGAAACTAGACAATATGAAACTTTTGTGTCTTCCCATTCTGATGGTAATAAACATCTTCTATTAATGTTTTCATCACATTGTATTGTAACTGCTCCCAAAAGAAACAAACTAGTTATCTGAATGCCCATTAATCCTTGGCAAGGCCAGATGATTCCCTTTTGTTTCACTTTCTAACCAGCATCAAGTAATGGCTTATGAAAATGATACATTCATTAGCTCAGAATATAAGCAAGTACCAGATGATGTACAAGAAGAAATTTATGATATCAAATAAGGCAATAAAATATAACAATATAAATCACCTCCTTCTAAACCACACATTGACAGGATTGAAAATTGCAAAGTATCTTCCAAAAGGAGGATCCTACACAATTAATACAACAAAACACCAAAAGTCCTATTCTTTTTTTTTTTTCCATGTAAAATAATTCCTTCACAATTCCTTTTCAGTAAAAAGCCAGGAAAGAAATACATACATGATGGTGTTAATGCCTGAGAGCTGTTGGAACATTTGCAGACCACAACCCACAATTAAAGCTCGGCGAGTTGGGGGATAACTCAGCATTCTGCAGATCACAGGTCCAGCTTTTTTAAAAAAGAAAGAAAAAGAAGGACACATCTATTATTTTCAGCTCCCACAGTCATTGTTCCCATTAGGATTAATTTCCCCAAATCTCTGTGAAGTCAACATAACTGGGCATTATAAAATAGAACGTATATACTTTTACAGAAATCTGGGCACGATGTATTTTCTAAAACAGATTTAGTATATACTTGAGTTTAAACTGTAAAAGCAACAAGGAACAACTGAAGTTAAAGCAATTTATGGGTTCTAGGAAGACCTACATAATTGGAACTGTCAGAAATTATTCTTCCTTAAATCCCTACAAACTGCATTAACTACTCTTCATTTTTCCACTTTCTTGGCAATTATTATTTAAAAATCCATTCAATGTGGGACTACTTACAAAGTCACTGGCAAATTGCTTTAATCAACCAAAAGAATGGCATTCATTAAAAACAATTAAACAAGGAACAGAATTCATTCCAATTTATCTGACTTAAGTAACAAAATTCTTTCCAACCTATTCAATTAAAGTTAAGAAATTTGGGCAAGGTATCAGACTTGGTTATGGTTTATATGGTGTATACTATTAATAAATGCTACCCAAAAGATAATAAAAGAAAAAAATTACATAAGAGTATAAATATATATAAATATATTTTTTTCTAGATTTTGAATAGTTCCCTAAGGGGCGTTCAGTGATCTTTTTAAAATACAAATGGGCTTTCCAAATGGCACAGATGCGTTGGTCTCTATGTCAGAACACTACATCAATTTTGGAAAGCTGCAGATATGAACCACAGAGGTCATATGTAAGATAACTAACCTTATTGACGTCTATGGTCTGGGCATAATTATTAAAACTGCCCCTTCTAGTCCCAGAAGTACTTCAAGCACACCTTTACCTTAGCTTGAAGAGGCATTCTATACAGTGTCCTCATGGGGCCAGGGTTGACTCCCAGGACCTATGGTATTCCCGCTGTTAGAAGAGATGGCCTAGGATCACTGGAATGTTAATTGCTTAATTAGAAGAATTCTTCCTGGAGGCCAAGTTTCATTAGTAAACCCTAAACCAAGTCAAGTTCAAAATCCAAGGAAATTTTACCATTTCAGCAACCTTTAGGAAATCTAATATCCCAGTTCACAAAAATGGAATAAAACATGCTGTTGTCTTGGCAATAAAAGTTAACATGGGATGTTGAGCCAGGGTATTAATTAGAACTGAACATTATCAGAGTGAGAATATTCATCTCTACATGCATGTGATTAAAACCACATGAAAAACTTGATTTACTGCAAATGATTTTGTCCTGAAATGGTAAGACAGGATACGGACAGAGAAGCATTTATGGTCATTCAAAGCTTAATGCAGGGACAACCCCTTTAGAAAGGAGGGTGAAAGTATTTTAATGTCAAATGTTTTAGTTTAAAGTAAAGCAGTTTTAAACCTAGTGTATCAGAAAAGCTGAAATAGGTAGATTTTCAAAGCTTTACTGTGACAATACTGAAATACATCTGGATCAGTTGACTGAAAGGTAGCAGGTTCGCCTGCAAATTCAGCTATCTGTAAATGAGCCACAACATGAAAAACACACACACAGCATCATAAAATGATACACCAATTTCCATAAATAAAAAAAAAATTAAGTGAAAAATATTATCACTTACTTTGTGTACCATGGAAAATTTAAAACAATGACGACAACACAAAAATAAAACCCCTTTTTCAGCTTTTAGTACTAAACCTCCATAGATGAGAAACCGGTGTTTTGCAAGGAATCTATTATAATCTGTGGTCAGCTGTGCCTACTTTCACTATTAAACTGTTCCATGATTTGATGGACAGACTAGGTAATAATGATTTTAGGAGACAGAAAAATAAAGAGAAAATTAGGACAAATTAGGATTAAAGTTTGACTTGTATAAATAACAAGATATATACTATTGTATAAATGTCACATATTTATTTCCTAGTTTTTAAAATTCTGAGTTTTTTAGCTTTTTCTTGGTTTTGATTTCCTGCTAAAAATAAACAATAGCTGTTCTGTTATTAGAATGGCTTTAATATACAGATAAATTCTGGTCACAGTAGTGCACATCTGATTATGCATAAGTAAAAGGAAATAATTTCCTTTCATTAAAATTATAAACCAGCTTTATTAGGCAGTAAAATTGACTTAAATGCAAACTATCATTAATTTTTGTATCACAGAAGATATGAAGCAGAAGAAAAAGATCAAACATATTAATTGGTTGAATGTAAGTGAAAATTTAAAATGTCATGCTCTACTTATATTTGATTTTTATAATTAAAAACATTTAGTGTATACAAACATTTTACAATTTTTAAAAAGTTATTTGTCTTTGGACACAAATTCCCACACAATAAAACCTACTGGACTCAAAATATAACATACACTAAAACACCAGATGAAAGAACCAAACATAGGTTCATCTTTTCCTCCATTCTGAACACCTCATACTAATATTCACAATGGCTGTCCAAGTGTGGCAGGTACTCCAGTGGCAAGGATGAAAAGGACAGTCCTACAAGTGTAGCCATTCCTGTTAATGGCTGTCTATGAGCCAAGCCTACAGATGTTTCTCCAGGTGTAATTAAAAATGCACTAGAACTCACTCTGAATAAAATCCAGCTCCTGATTTCCACTTCCACACAAGATGGGAGTGATGGTTACCAGATTTCCCTTCAACTTGAAACCAACTAAAAGTCATGAAAAATGTATTGGACAATAGTTCTCATGATAATGGGTAACAGGCAACAAAGGGTAGTGACCTCTGAGATTCAGGACACAAAAGAAGTGAACCCAACAAAGACTGCCCAAGCTTAATGCCTCAAAAAAAGTTTCCAGGACACAATACAAAGAGGGGAAGCTAGGCAGACCCTGGTGGTCTCCCTGAATTGAAAGGATGCAGCTCAGAATGCAGGGATGCCAAAGCAGCTAGACTTGCCAGAGTGGAGTGCCAGAGTGGAGAGAAATTCACAGAGAGGGGACAGTGGAGATCTGCAGTCCCCCTTGGGTATTCCTCCATTGAGTGGGTATGTGTGAGGAAACTACTCAAGGCAGGAGTAAGAGCTGCAGGAAGGGATTAAAGAACTCCACTCCAGGACTTGTTTGTACCAATCAGAGGGAAAGATCTAGAGTGTAAGGAAGAGTAATCAAAAGTACCCAGATTAAACACTGCTTGGGTACCATCCAAAAGAGTTTAAAAATCAAGACCCCCCTGCTTCCAAGGAATTGAATAGCATCCGAGAACAAAGTTCAACAGTAAGATAAAATTTATAATGTCTAGCATACAATAAAAAATTATCAGACATGCAAAAAGGCAGGAAAGTACAACCTGTAACAGCAAAGGGACTAATTCATCAGGAGGACATAACAATCCTAAATGTTGAGGCACTTAATAAGAGTTTCAAAACATATGAAACAAAAATTGATACAACAGCAAGGGGAAATAGAGAAACTCAAAGTCATACTCAAATATTTCATCATTCTCTTTTCAATAACTCATACAATTAAGTAGGCTTAAAATTTGCAAAGATACAGAAGATTTCAACAACATGATCAACAAACTTGAGCTGACATTTAAACAACATTCTACTGACCAAGAGCAGAATACACATTCTTTCCAACAGTAAATGAATGGTAAATGTCACGGAATACTTCTTAGCAAGATAGATTATATTCTCAGCTCTAAAACCAGTCTTAATTAATTTAAAGGTATTTAAGTCACACAAAGAATGTTCTTGTACCATAAAGAAATTAATACAGAAATCAATAACTGAACTGGAAAATTCCCTCCTTATTGGACACTAAACAATACATTTCCATGGAAAAGAGAAATAAAGGGAAATCAGAAAGTATTTGAGCTGAAAGAATATGAAAACACACCAAATGAAATTTCGTGGAATGCAGCTAATGTAAAACAGAGGAAAATTTACAGCAGTGACCATGGCTTCCACTTTACAAAACCAGGAAAAGAGGGACAAATGAAACCCAAAATAAACAAGATAAAAAGAATAATAAAGAGTAGAATAGAAATCCAGGAAATAGATAAAAAGACAGTTGAGGGGAAAAAAATCAATGAAACCAAAAGCCAGTTAGTTCTTTGTAATATAAATAATATTGATAAATTTTGAGCCACACTGTGGTAGGCTGAATAATAGCCCCTCAAAAGATATACATATGAACTAATCCTTGAAACTTGTTTATGTTACCTTAGATGGCATAAAAGAACTTTGCAGATGTAATTAAGTTAAGGATTCTGACATGGAAAAGGGAGAATCAGGACAGGATGGGAGAAAGCAATGTGGCCCTGAACACTGAGACTGGACTGATGCAGCCATAAGCCAAGAAATGCCAGTTCCACCAGAAGCTGGAAAAGCAAAAAACAAATTGTCCCCTTAGAGCCTCTAGAGGGAGCATGACCCTGCCAACACCTTGATTTTAACCTAGTGAAACGGATTTCAAATGTGAGGCCACCAGACAGTGAGAATAAATTTCTACTGTTTTAAGCTACCAAGTTTTAGTGATTTTTTACAACAGCCATAGGAAGATAATACACAGAACAATCAGGAAAAAAGAAAGAGAACATACAAGTTGTTATCATGGATCAGAGAAGTGTCATCGATACAGATTCTACAGATATTTAAAAAATAATAAAGGGGTATTATGAAAAACTTCACGGCATCAAATTCAACATCTTAGATGTAATAGGCAAATTCTCTCAAAGACAGAATCTTCCAAAGCTAACTCAAAAAATAGCCTGAATATACTATAAGCTTTTTTAAAATAATGAGTTTGCAGTTAAAAACTTTCCTCCATAAAATAGATCAGGGGCACCCAGGTGGCCCAGTCAGTTAAGTGTCCAACTCCCGATTTCAGCTCAGGTCATGATCTCACGAATTTGTGAGACCAAGCCCCATGCTGGGCTCTGCGCTTACAGTGCAGAACTGGCTTGGGATTCTCTCTCTTCCTTTCGTTCTCTCCCCCTCCTCCAC